GGGCGCGCCCCCGGGGCAGGCGCACACTGGTTTCCCTCTGGGGAGGGGGGGAATCCTGGGAGGAGGCAGATGCAGGCGACTCTCTGCCTCCACTGGCACCCCACTCCCCAGCCCCCACTCCCCAGCTACAGAACGTTGTCCCCACTCCCCTGTTCCCAGCTACAGAACTCTGTCCCTATTCCCGTCCCCACTCTCCAAACTCTGTCCCCTGCTGCAGAACCCTGCCCTCTGCCCTCCCAGCACCCTGCTCCCTCTCCCTTGCCCCCAGCCGCAGAACTCTGTCCCCACAAAATGTATAATTATAAATGCTTCCTTTTAGATTTAAATAGCATGAATAAAAAACAGACCATTTATTTCATAACTATAAACACGTGATTTTAATTTTATATATCACATTTAAAAATAAACTGTTTATCACAGTGTATAAGTAAGGGCTGAGGATAGCAAGTGATGGACAGGAGGAGACTAGAGAGGACAGGGCTTCAAGGAAGGGGTGGGGCGGTAGATCTTCGCCTGTTCTGAGATTTAAAAAGTGATCTTGGGTGTAAAAAGGTTGGAGACCACTGCCCTAGTTGAACTGCAAGCACATGGCTCTTACAGTTAATGTTGTGTGCTATCAGTATGCATCTCACTTCACCTGTCCTTACTTAATGTGTGTGTCACTTTAGTAATACTGGTAGGAAAAAAAATGTTGAAGATGGAAACCAGCAGAATCTGGCAATTGTGCAGATGGACAACAGTAAACAAAATGTCTCACAGGCCACACATAAAACCCCAAGCCCTGCACCACAGGTTGCTTACCACTGACCTCAGTCCAGGCCAAGCACAATTTAACTACAAGTATGGCTGAGAACACGCACATCCCTTATTTTGGATATCAGGATAGGGTTTTGACCATAGTTCTGCAAATACATTTTATGACATGTCTCTTAAAAGGGCTGTTTTCACTGCACTTGCAGTTCAGAGAGAGACACCCTAAGGATGGAAGGGGCCAGGAAGAACAAAGATTGCTGTGTTCTCCAAATCATCTTGACTTTTATTTTAAAAAGACACTACATACTGGCAACCCCTGAACCCTCAGGGCCTGATCTGACACAGAAACCTTCCTCTCCTCAGTCTTCCTCCTTTGCTGCCCCAGGCACCTGCGGTCCCTTTGTCATTCTCTTGATCTTGCTTCCTCCCTCTTCCCCTTCCTGTCACCTTTTCCTCCCGCGTCACCCTGACTCGCAGACACAGCTCCCTCCCTCCTTGTGCTGAAGGGCTTTCACCTGGGGGTCAGGCGTTGGGGTGAGAGGGGGCGCTGGGGGAAGAGTGTGGCTAAATGGAAAGGGGTGACAGAAGGGGGGGGAGTGGAAGGGAGCCGGTGGGTGGAGCCTAGAGAGCGTGGGGGGTGGGGCAAGTGCCTGGGCGCAGAGGAAACGCGGCAAGACTCGAGAACACGCCGGAGGGGCGGGGGCGGGGGCAGGGGCAGGCAGACTAACGGCTCTGGGGAGGTGGGGCCAATGCCGCAGCCGCCATGCTGGAGGAGGCGGGGCCTGGGGCGCCCCGCGGCCGGGCCCTACGATCAAGACGTGATGAGCTCGCACGCGGGGGCGGGGCTTGTGGCCGGGGCGCAGCCGAGTCTTGCTCGCGGCGGCCGTTTGGCCATGGCGCACCGCTACCTGCTGCTGTCGCGGGGCTGCTGCCGGCGCCGGGGCCTGCCCAGTGTCCTGACGCTGCAGCAGCTGCTCTCGGGCCGGGGCCCCTCCGGGCCGGGGCTGGCGCAGGTGAGTGACACAGTGGGGGGGGCGAGGCAGCCGCTGTCAGTCAGTCTCGGTTGGGGGTGTGGATGGCTCCCAGGCCTACGTGTGGGGTGTCCCGAGGACTGGCGGTGACCGGGGGCGCTCCCCGCGGCCAGCGCTTAACCCGCGTTCGGGGCTCGGCCCCGCAGGGGGCTGCTCGGCCTGGGGCGCCTGAGATTCCTCGGGGCCCGCCGAGTGCCCCCAGCCAGAAACTGGCGAGCGTGGCAGGGGCAGTCTTCGGCTTTTGCCTTTTGTCCTTGAGGAGCCGCGGATCAGGCTGCCCCGGGCCTCCAGCGTGACCCCGCCAAGTGGGAGCTGGTGGCCGGTCTTAGCGTATCGGCATTAAAGCAAGGTGGGGATGGTGGGAGGATTTAAGGGCGCCGGACGCTCTCCGGGCTGGTTAGCTGGGGCGCTCTTATCAACTCAAAGTCT